ACCCCACCCTCCGACCCCTCCCCATCCCCCATTGTCCTCATCCATAGGTGCACAGTTTATGTTCAGTCTCTTCCTCCCTCCCTTTCCCCGATAGTAAATCCCTTTTCAGATAGTAAATCTGTTACTTAGCATTTTCTCATATCAATAATACCACCACATGCCCAATGATACATTTCACACAAAAGACATTTCCAAATAGGTCAACCAGCCTCATCCAGGCCCCACCCAAGGCACTCACAGATCAACACCCCAGTGCTATACTAACTCAACACATCCAGATCTAAGCCTTCATCACTTGATTCAGCAGACCCTCAAGTTCCCACAAAAGTTTCCAGCCATGTCTGAGAGGCAGCCGTGGGGCAGGGGCAGGTGAGGAGCGAGCAGTTCCGGGCCTGGCTGCTCCGGGCCTGGCCTCTGTTGCTCTGGTTCATTCCACAACCAGCTGCTCCGGGTCTGGTCACCGCCGCTTCCTACCTAGTTGCTCTGGACTTGGCTGCTGCTGCTCCGGGCCTGGCCTCACCCGACCCGGCTGCTCCGGGCCCGGCAACTCCCAGCCTGGCAGCCGCTGCTTCGGGCCTGGCCGCACCAGACCCAGCTGCTCCGGGCCTGGCCGCTCCCAGCCTGGCAGCTGCTGCTCTGGGCCTGGCTGCCCCGGGCCCGGCCGCTCCCAGCCTGGATGCTCTGGGCTTGGCTACTGCTGTTCTGGGCCTGGCTGCTCCTGACCCGGCTGCTCTGGGCCCAGCTTCTCCGGGCCCGGGCACTCCGGGTCTGGGTGTTCCTGGACTGGCCACCCTGGGCTTGGCCACCTCCGCCTCAGGACTGGCTGCCACTGCCCCACTGACCTGAATTTTAGAGGAGATTCTGAATTTGCAAGGCATAGAAAGTGGGGCGATGCTTGGGATGATTATGAACTTGAGCCATATATATGTATAAAGTGTCCAAAGTACTTTCCTGACCATCTTACAATAAATTAAAAATAAAATAAACTCAGCAAATTAAAATTCTTCAACCTGATGAAATCATGGATGACATATTTAACAATGTTTTGAATGCTTTTTCTCTATGATAGTTGACGAACTAGAAATGTGCACCCACACTAATTTACTGGTTTGCGACATTTTGAAATGTATCAAAAATTTAAGAGTATTTGATGAATAAAGAAATGGATATATAGAAAAGTGATACAGCAAATATAACAAATTTTTCATTGTTGACTCCAGGTGGTAGGTGTGTGCTTGTTCACTCTGTAATTCTTCCAAACTTTTCTATAGGTTTGGAAATGTTCATAAAAATATATTGGGGAGCCGGTATGACCTATTTAACTCTAACTCTGTGTTTTCCAAACTCCTTTTTTAACAAAGCAAAAATTAAAAAACAACAACAACAACAAAAACAACAAGGAAAATGTAATCAGCCCTGCAGAAATGCTCTGGAAAACACTTCCTATTTAGATTTAGTCTACACCCATTTTAATTGTTTAAACAAGAATGTTGTGCCACATCCATTGCTGCATAATTACCACCTCAAAACACAGTGGCTTAAAAGAATGACCATTTATTATTTTTCACTGTCTCACCTCAGACCTTCACTTCAGGTGATTTTGTCTAAACTTCCGCAACAGCATAATGGCCAAACTCCAAAGAGAGGAGAAGATGTAAACTCCCTTAAGGCGTGGGAAGATTCTCAGAATGTTACTTCTGCATTCCACTGGTTAAAGGAAGCCAACAGACCGGCCCAAGTTCAAGGAAAGAGGAAATAGACTTCGCCTCCTTGTTTGAGGAGCAGCCTGGGGAGCAGGGGAATGGATGGGAGCCATCTTTGGAGATTATCACAGAGGACATTTGGTGCCAGACTTTCCACTTAAAGCCTAAGCTGTTCCCCTTACTGAAGCTGTTTAAAATTTACAAACGAATGGGTTGTTGTTTATCTTACAAGAGCAAGCTTTGGTTTTTAGCCGAGAGCTTTCTTTGTTAGGTAGCAAATTTCAAAGCTTTGATTTGAGGTGGAAAGTGTCCTGTGTTTGAGAGTCAGAAGATCTAGGTGTCTCTTCTGACTGCGATTCTTCCAGCTGGGGAACTAGGGCAAACACGTAACCTCTCATAACCTAAGTTCCCTTGTCTGTAACTCACAGAATTTTATTTTGGGCTAAAAAAGAGACAGAGGTCTTTGGTGATTCCCAGAAGAGCAGGTCTCAGGGAACTGGAACCGGAACCAAAGCAGTTCTGAGGAATCCCTCAGCAGGATCTGAGTCTTCACTCCCCACCTACATGGTTCCTGGGTGCTTCCTGTCATTCACGACTAGTTCTTCCTCTCTGCCATCAGTATTTCCTCTTTACCACACCGTGCTTGATTTTTCATCCTTTCAGCCTGCCTTGTGTATCATGGTCAAACCTCATAGTCAAGTCCAGGCATTGGCAAACATGGGCCTATGAGCCAAAAGTGGCTTGCCACTGCTCTTATAAATGCAGCTTTATTCAAGCACAGTCAGACTCGTGCTTTCACTGTTGTCTGTGGCCTCTTTTAGCTACAAAGGCAGTGTTAAGTGGTTGCAACAGAAATAGTGTGGTTCACAAAACCAATATGGCTTTTTATTATTTATTTTAAAAAAATGTTTGTATTTGATTCCAGAAAGGAAGGAAGAGGGAGAGAGAGATAGAAACATCAATGATTGGAGAGAATCATAGGTTGGTTGCCTCCTGCATGCCCCCTACTGGGGATCGAGCCCACAACCCAGGCATGTGCCCTTGACTGGAATCAAACCTGTGACCCTTCAGTCTGCAGGCCAACGCTCTATCCACTGAGCCAAACCAGCTAGGGCCCTATATGACTTTTTAGAGAGTTTACTGATCCCTGGTCTAGACTCTCCCTCATGGCTGTCTCTAGGCATTCGTTTAGCTTCTGCTCTCACTACCTCATTCTTTTTTTTATTTTTATTTTTTATATATTTTATTATTTTTTTAATATATTTTATTGATTTTGTACAGAGAGAGAGAGAGCCAGAAACATCAATGAGAGAGTCATCGATCAGCTGCCTCTTGCACACTCCCTACTGGGGATATGCCCGCAACCAAGGTACATGCCCTTGACTGGAATCGAACCTGGGACCCTTCAGTCCCCAAGCCGAAGCTCTATCCAGTGAGCCAAACCGGTCTTGGCTCACTACCTCATTCTTAAAAGTATTTCCCAGTCCAAGTTCCTAGAAGAGAGAGAACCAAATTCCTCTGAAATCTCTATTCCTCAGTCTGAAATGAAATTAAGGTCAGCCGAAACTGGTTTGGCTCAGTGGATAGAGTGCTGGCCTGCGGTCTGAAAGGTCCCAGGTTCAATTCCAGTCAAGGGCATGTACAGTATCTTGGTTGCAGGCACATCCCCAGTGGGGGGTGTGCGGGAGGCAGCTGATCGATGGTTCTCTCTCATCCATGTTTCTGGCTCTCTATCCCTTTCTCTTCCTCTCTGTAAAAAAATCAATTATATATATATACACATTAAAGGACATCTTCTCTTCATGCCACGCCACCTCCCCAGCTATGGTGAGGCTGTATACAGGTGACATAGTTCTCTCCCATCTTATTCAGTTAATTGTGGCTGAGATGTAAGTAACATGGAGTCAGTAAAACGGAGCTGTCTCAGAGGGGTGAGGGTATAGTGGGCACTGGTACAACCGAAAATGGCATTACATGAGCTAATACATGTAAAATCATTACACAGTAATGTATTAATACTTGAGTCATATATGTATAAAGTGTCAAAGTACTTTCCAATAAAGTTCAATCTGAAATGAAACACATGCCCCTGAGGTTAAATATGTAAATCAGTGACAAAACAGGATCTATAATAATAAAAGCATAATATGCTAATTAGACCGGCCGTCCTTCTGGATGACCTTCAAACGAAGCCGGAGCTGCAGCTGTGGGACCGAGGCAGCCACCGCAGCTACGGGGGAGGGATCAAGGCAGCCGCTGCGGCTACGAAGGCTTACTCTTGCACGAATTTTGTGCATCAGGCCTCTAGTGTAACATTAAAACTCAACCTACCCACAATACGTTAGCTCTAAGGAATAATAGGACCTATATTATGGTGCTATTACATGAAATACCATTAGCATTGCCCATGAGACAAAAAGTAGGTGAAAAAAGACTGAGAGGTGAAATTGAGATCGGGTGAGTATGGGCACTAGTTAGATGTGAATGCTCTTTCTTATTTGGAAAATAAAAGCCTCGGCAATGTGTTCATTAGTATTTACCGTATTTTTCGGACCATAAGACGCACTTTTTCCCCCCCAGAAGTGGGGGGGAAAAGTCCCTGCGTCTTATGGTCCAAATATAGCCTACACATATACTTTAAAAAAAAAGTTTTTTTACTTGCCCGGCTCTGTGTAGTCTCTGTGTGCTTGCCCGGCTCTAAAATGGTTCTAAATGCTGCTGTTTACTTTACAGGGTTGATTACATGTGTTTATGACTGTGATGTTGGGTTTTAATGCACATAAAATATTTTAGGACACTATTTGTTTCAGAATCTTTTTTTCTTCATTTCCCTTCTCTAAAAACTGGTGTGTCTTATGGTCCGGAGCGTCTTATGGTCCGAAAAATACGGTATGTATTTTCTTGAGGACAAGTAACTAGTAACACAGAGTTTTGTAATTACCGGCACATTAAGTAGGATATTCTTCCATGCCTTTCCAACGGGAACTGTGCCTGCTGGGGTTGCCTACATTTGAGGCTGCCTTTCCCACTACGGAGCACGGCTCCAGGTAAGATCCCGTGTGGAGGACCACGCCAGGTCTGCGAGTCTTCTAATCCTTCTAGGAATGCAAAAGGTGTGGTGCTCAGAGTACACTTTAGAGAGAAACCTGACAGCATTTTCAATAAAGGAACTTTACAAAATTTTCCCTGGGAAAGAAACTTTTAGAACCATGCCTGCACGTACGAGCCTAAACCGACTGGTAACACAGACAAATAAATTCCAAAATAACTTTTATTACTATATAAAATCAAGTCAAGAAAAAATAGGTGCGTATTTTTTTTTTCTACAAAATTGTAAAATACTCAGGCTATTTAACATTTTCCCATAAATGTGCTGAGATGGAGAGACAAATTCATACACAGAAATATTTTTCCAGGTTCCTTATAGGAATAAAGAGTAATGGTTTTCTTTCATCCCCACGTTCTTATGTGTAGCTCTAAGACATAGCGGTTACAGTTTTTTGGGTTTTTTTTGGTTATAAATCTGAAAAAAGGACATGCCAAGAGAAAAATTCTACCATGTTGCAATAAAACTGGCACCAAGCTCTGCTTCATCTTTGAGCTTTCAGATTTGGCAGCTGTGGTCATTTGCAACTCAGCCTAATTAAAAAGAAGGCATCCTCTTTACCTTGTCCTTTAGGAAACATAAACCAGTGGTCAGTATCCCTAAAAAGGCGCAATTGCCTCCTTTGTCATCTGATTGTAAGGCCCGCAAAGCGGTTTCTCACCATCACAGCTCAGATGAAACCACACAAGGAAAAGAAAGGAAGTCCCTGGGAGGTTGGACTCAGTTTGACACCAGGAGCATAGGAAGCTGCACACTTGGTAACATTCAATCAAAACGTATATTCCTTTGAGCTTTTTAGTGAGCCCTGCAAGAGAAAAGGCGCTAGTGTTGATTTAGATGTGTGCTAAAATAATAACACTTTTCCCCCTGAATCGAGATGGTGGGGTAAACCAAGCCAGATTAGCTCTGCAGGTGACATAAGCTGTAATTATTTGTGGGGATCTCAGTCACTCTTTTGGAATGGATACCTAAGGGTTTCTTCTCCCCCATTCTTTTTTTTGTGTGTGTGTGTGTATGGGGGGGGAGGGGAGGTGGAGGGGAAGGGAGACGGACTTTTTAATGAGATATTTTTAATGGATATGGTTTAGGTAGAAATATTAGCTTTTAAAAGATAAAGGTACAATTATCTTTAGAATAGGAAGCCCATTTAAAAAAAGTCTCAAAGAGAAAGTTTTTCTAGGTATATTTTGCCAGGCATTGTTTTCATAAAGGCTGAGAAAGAAGATCCTATAATATCTGTAAGATCACCCTCACATTAGCCTGAAAGAAAGACAAAATAAAAGGCTGAGGGGTGCTCAAATAGTTTGCAATGGAGCAGAATGTTCTAGTACCAAATCCATAATTAACTTTTCACTAATTACCTCTTTCTTGGCCTATATAAAATGGAATGGCAGTTTCAGTTTTTGAGGCTCTCACTGACCCTTCCTCTCCAAAACTTCTGGAATTCTGCACCTCTCCATGTAATGAAAAATCCATTTATCAAATGTCTGTGTGTGACAATGGAATTCTCTTACTTGACACCAAAATTGTAGCACACGCTACAGATATTGAATTGAATTGTGCCTACTATGTGCCAAGCACCAAACCAGGCACCAGCAGTCCTTCTGACATGTTTACCAATTTTTAAAATAGAGTTACATAAGGAAACTGTTTCAGAGAGGGGATTTTGAATGGTTATCCTTGAAGCTTACGGGATGTGGTGGAGTGTATTCAATATTCAATGTATAGAAGTAATGACCAGTTATCCTAAGAGGAAATCCACTAAGCACTAAAAAAAAGTCAAGTGTACCAGTATTTGCTGTAAAACTGTAAGGTTTTTATCCGTCTTAAAGTGCTCTCGTTTAACATTGCAGGGAATCTGAAAATCGACCCCAAAGTGAAAACCATCATTTCAGCATAGACACTGCTCTAGGTCTTAATTAAGTCAGCCCCAAGAGGTCTCCATGCATGGAAGTTGTCACCTCTGAGTCGCAAGTCACGACTGAGAACACAAAGCTCGAGGTAGCCCCTAAAATTCCACGCAAATCTGGATGGATCCCAGCTGCTGTCCCCAGGAAGGACAGACCCTGAGGCAAGTCTCTCTCTCTTTCCCATCTTCAAATTGAAAACTGTCCAGCAGCTAAGATCATAAAGAACAAAAATCTTAATTGATTATCTTGAAAACTATAGATGTTCTTACCCGAATCTTCCTTTGTCATTAAGACACAATTTTAAGAACATAGAGGCGTCAAGGTGAGCCATGGCTTGTGGGCAGTGGACGGGCACCCAGAACCTATTTCCAGGCCCTTTTCCTTGGTTATCTGAGGAATCTTGGCAAAAAAAGCCAGAAGGTAACCATTAGCCATGCCGCTGCACTCCAGCAGCGGAAATTTATTCAGGGGACAGTCAAAGAAGGTGCAGATTAGTATAAAAAAGGAAAAATGGCACCAACCAGTTCGGCTCAGTGGATAGAGCAATGGCCTATGGACTGAAGGGTCCCAGGTTCGATTCTGGTCAAGGGCATGTACCTTGGTTATGGGCACATCCCCGGTAGGGGATGTGCAGGAGGCAGCTGATCGATTTTCCTCTGTCATTGATGTTTCTAACTCTCTATTCCTTTCTCTTCCTTTCTGTAAAAAATCAATAAAATATATTTTTTTAAAAAGAAAAAAACAAAACAAAAAAACAGCTCAGTGAAGTGGTGAGACTCACAGACTGAGGAGCCAGACTGGCAGGTTTTGAATCTCAGTTCCACCACTTATGACCTTGGGGCAAGTTACTAACCAGTTCAAGCTTCAGCTCTTTCATCTATAAAATGAAGACAATCATGGTCCCTACCTCAGAAGGTTTGTCTGGGGATCGAATGAGCTAATCATATCTATAAAGTGCTTAGAATAGCGTCTGGCACACAGTAAGTGCCATGCAACTACTTAAAAAAAATAAAAAAAAATAAAAACAGAAACTTGAGAAAAAGTGCTTTTTAAGATTTTTAGAGCAGTCTGTGCTGCTTAAGAATTTAGGCACATTCTTGATTTAATTGGGTTTGGAGCCTGGATCATAAAATATGCCAAACTCCGTTGAGTTTTGGAAAAACTTCCAGGGCTGCCCCTTTATCAGTTTTGCCAACCAACAAATACAGCGTGAGCATCTGTGCTCTGCAAGACCTGGGACGCTTTGGTCCTCAACCAGAGCTAACAGAACCACAGTTTACAGCTGCTATCGTTTACACTGACCACCTCCTTTCCAAGGTACCGGTAAGTTCATAGGCCTCGATCAGCACCACCTCTTCCAAGAAATCCTGCTTTATGATTAAAACAATATAAACTCTATGAAGCTCATTCATCTTATGGCTAAATAGGGGACGTTAAACTGTAGAGCTGGTTTTTAAAAGCGACGTTGCATGACTACTTCGCTACCAACACCTTACATGGTGGACCTCTGGCCACTCTCGTCAAGGGCCACGTTTCTTTTCCTGGCCGCCGCTTCGTTGTTTAACTCTGACTCTGATTTGTCCACGTTGTCAAAGTTTATTGCCATGGGGCCTTCCGCTCCCTCTGGAGTGCCTCCGTTTGGCTGAAGACGGACAGAAGCTGGCTCTTGAGGACGTTTCCACTGTGGTCTGGTGACTATCCAAAAAACGAGGGCCCCAAACACCAGGATCAGAAGGCCCAGGGTGTTTGCAAAAACACCTTCTGGTGGGAACGTGTCATAGCCAGGACTTTTCCTACAAAAAAAAATAAATAAATAAATAAAAGAGAGGGCGAGAGTCAGTACAATGACACACAGAGTGAGATGGCAACATGTCAAGCAATTTTGAATTTATCTGTTGAATATGCAACTGGTACAGGTTCAGTGTCAATTCCCTTAAAGCCTGATTTTAAGGGGGAATTTATGCTATAATTCACTCAGTGGAATAGTATGAATTGTTAAAAAAACACACACACACACACACAAAACCAACCATTAGTATAAAAACAATATAGCTTCTGGAGCACCTGTATTGCTTAAAAAATGAAAAAAGGATGATGCAAAAATGTACATACACCACAACTGAAATCAATAAAAACATGCGCATCAAAAAGATTGTAAGGGCACGCATAATTTCAATAGCTGTTTTAAGAGTAGTACAACTTATTGGATTTTTGGTCCTTCTTTAAACATTCAGTAATATTATATTGTGTAATACAATAACTTGTATCTACATACAATGTTGTATTGTATTATAGAATAAATGTTTTAAGAATAAATATTTAATTTTTTAATGTTTTGATATTTTTAAAATTTTGTTACATTTTATTACCTTTTCCCAATGAAAAAGTATTTTCCATTTATAGCATTAAGTATACAATTAGGATAACTATGTCACTTACAGGACAAATAACAGTTTCTCAGTCACTCCCATGAGGGCTGTTGCAATCACTGTTCCAAAGATGAGAAGTCCAGAATAAACATGTATGGGCATGAGAAATGCTCGGAGAGAGGGTGGAGCCCAGGGAAGCAGAAAGATGAAAAAACCTAGGAGAAGCTAAACATCAAAAAGTGCAATGGTTATCATTTAGTCTTAAGTTTTAATACAGAAATTTAAAGTTATTATTTAAAAGCAATGTGTGCAAAATGAAAAAATATTTCATATAGAACTAAGGGCATAAAATGAAAAGTTTTCCTACTCCAGTTCCACTAATTCAAGGTAACATTTGTTATCTTCTAAAGCACCCTTCCAGAAAATTTCTGTGCTTATATAAACAAACGTGTGTGTGTGCAAGCACATGTGTATTTGTTTTGCATCTTGTGTTTTTAGATAACTTTTCATAGCAACACGTGATTATCTAGTTTATTCTTTATAAAGGCTAATATTCTATTTTGAGGATGTAACATAATTGATTCACTTCTTTATGGGTGTTCCTGTTTCCAGTTTTTTGTGTGTGTGTTTTGTTTTTGCTATCATTACATTAATAAAGCTACATGAACATTCTGGTACTTACTTGTTTGTTGTTGTTGTGTACATTAGGACACATTTATTAATAGTCAGGTCAACCTAAAAAAACTATATGGAAAGAGGTCGATAATTTTGTTTTATGAGGAAGAAATGTGTCCTACAGAAAAGTTGCCTTAATTTCCTTGATAATTCAATCCTGATGGAATACTTCTCTGCCGAGAAGCCAGCAAGTTCCTATGTAAACTGATATCTAACACCTTCAGTTTTATTTTGTTGCCTCACACCCCCTGCCTATTAAGTATTCTCTTTTCCTCAAGAAAACAAAGATAACTTAGATGAATTTAAAGGAACTTTGTTTTTCAAGTATCTATTTAGGATCTACCACCCTAACAAAAGTGTGAGAAGAGAGGAGAATGGGGAGAAACACTAACATCACTGTTCATCTTTATGGTTTGAGATCAAAGGACTAATGGGGTGCCAGCAGAATGGAAATGGGGGGTCTGATGCCCTAAAACACATTTAGGATAAGTGTTTAGGCAATGATCATGAGTGGAAAGGAATAAAAAACGCACCTGATAGGCTGGTTTGCATGATATTGTCCACTTAATGTCCCAAATGCCTGAATACATTAGAAATGGTTCAGAAGGTCCCCCTTGGTGGTTCAGAATGTTCCTAATTCTCCTTTAGAGTTATCATTGACTAGAGGCCTGGTACATGAATTTGTGCACGGGCGGGGTCCCTCAGCCTGGCCGGCAATCGGGGCCAGTCAAGGCCGTAGGAGGTAGACTGGTCTTTCAGTCGTTTGGTCACCTGGGCTTTTATACATATAGATGTGCAGGTCACTAAAACCAAGGGATAGTTTTCAGACCTTATTTTTTGTGACTTCCCAGTACCATCTGACATTCAAACCTCTCCTCTATCTTTAATGTTTCTTTTCTCACCACCCATTTGCTCAAGCCTGCAAGTGATTCTCTTTCTTATCCATTGATTTTCCAAACCCCATTAATTCTACCTACTAAATACCTACTATCCACTTTTCTCACTGATGCTGTTACTCCTCCAAGATACTATTGTTCCTCACCTGAGCCTCTGTACTAGTAAATGCCCCCACACTAGTTTTTCTGTATTTACTCCTGTCCAACCTCCAATTCATCTTATATACTCTACTCCAGGCAGCCTGATCTCCCTGTTCCTCAAATAAAGCAAACTTTATCCACATACTGTTTGATCCACCTAGAAGACTCTTTCCCCTTCACCACCAAGTCTTGGTGTGACTTCCTATATCCCCTCTACCATATGAGATCTCTCCCAGAACACTTCATATACTCAATGTCTACCACATACCGAGTGACCTGCCTTCCCCTGTAAGATTCATGTCTCTTTGGACCCATGCTTGTCTTGTGAAACAAGGTATCCAACACATAATAGGAAGTTAACTCTGTTGAATAAATTATTGGATTCATGAATAAAATTTCACTGACATAAGAGGCATGTTCTCAACCACAAAGGTGCTTATGGTCTATAGTGGAAATGAAAAATGCCATCTTCAGGTCATAAAGGAGCCTACCGAAGATTTGCATTTCTAATAACAACAGCTAACTGCATCATTCTAGTACGTTAAGCCCTAACTGAGCCTTTCCATGTATTATTTGGCTTTGATTCTTATGATGTTGTGAAAAATGTACAACGAGACTCAATTTATAGATGAGCAAACTAAGTCCGCAAAAAATTAGTAACTTGTCCAATGTCACCAGCTACAAATATACAAATAGATGAACCCAATTCAAACCGAGGTCACCCTGATTCCAACTCCTGAGTTATTAAAATACTGCCTTCTCTCTGAATCTGAGCAAGGAAGAAGCCAGGGGCCGAAGTCAGCCTACTAAATACAGTCATGAAGTTGTGAAGTGACATTTCTGAGACGCCTCTTAGCAGACAAATAAGACAGCCTAAGATAAGAATCTGGATACTTCAGAGAGCAAAAATACAATTAAAAATGTATTTCATTCACTCCAGTTTAACATTAGGAAGTTGATGGATGTAACTAACTACATTAATAGATTAAAGAAAAAAAAACTATATTCATCTCAACAGACACAGAAAAGCATTCAACAAGATTCTACATTCATTTATGATTCAGAAAGAAAAATAAAACCTTTTCCCAAACTGTAATAAGAAGAAATGTGAAGCACCTCTAGTCAGTAGAAAACTATTAAATCATTCTCTTCAAAATAAGAATAAATGAAGATTTTTATCTCTTTCTATTCTGTACTTCTTAAACCTATATATTTTCATATACCTCAATCCTTCTATACGCTTCAACTCTCTACTGCGCAGAGGAAAAGATACATGATAAATCTGGCATTGCAGGTAAGTAGCAAGGACAAGGACAATTAAATAAATGGTGCTGGGGAAACAGCTTACCACATGGAGAAAAAATAAAGTTGGATCAGAACTTCATACACTAAGCTAATTCCAGATGGATTAAGTACTTGAATATAAAAAATAAAACTTAAAGACTCTTGATAGACAATGGTTCTCAAACATTAGCATGCCTCTGAGTCACCAGAGGGCCTGTGAAAAGCACATTTCTCTGGACCCCACCCCACAGGTTCTGACCCAGCAGGTGTGAACCCATTTTGAGTTCAGGGTAGAGAAGATTTTCATAAACAAGTCACCGAAACAAAACATAATAACTTAAAAAAAAAAAAAACAAAAAACATGGCTCGTGTTTTATTAAAATTGAGAATTGATTTAACAAAAGAGGAAAAGTACAAACTTCAAATTGGAAGACATATGCAATTCATATAAATGAAAAGGAATTTGAAACAGAACTACAAATCTTTAAGGGGGAAAAAAAAGAAACTTTTTTTTTAAATGGGCAAAAGACACAAACAAGTGTTTCTTAGAAGAGAAACAAGTAATCAGTGAAGTAAACATTAAAACCACAAGAAGACATCCTTTTATGCCCACTAGCTTATAATAATTAAAACATTTGAACACAAGAGTGATACTTCTATGTCAACAAAGGAGGTTTAAACCTGGGCGGAGGCATTGGAAGAGGATGCATGTTGACAGGGATGTGCCGGATGGGAACTCTTACACCCTGCTAGCAGGAACATAATTGGGATCAACCACTTTTGAAAACAATTTAACATTTTTTTAGGCTCTGTCTATAATTCCACTATAGTATACTATATCCGGAGAAACCTTTGCATAGGAGAGCCAGGAAATGTGTATCTAAATGTCCAATGTCACAGAGAATAATTGAAAATAACCCAAATGTCCAATAGCATGAGAATGAATAAGTAAATGTGTGGTATATTTGTACAATGGAACACAAAAGTAAAAGTGAATGAACTAGAGGAAATAAGATAGTGGAATCAGTACAATGAAAAGAAAGGTTGCAAAAGAATTAAAACATAGTTACATTAGACTACATATATTATGAGACTTTTTAAAATTAAAGGAAAACTAACCAATATGTTGTTCAGGGATTCACAGTTATGTGATAAAATTATAAAGAAAAACAGAATGAGAAAAGAAAAAAAGAGAAAAAAACTTCAGGAAAATGGTTATCTTCATGGGTTGGGATAGGTGGAGAGATATGGGATAAAGGTGGGTAAGGATTCTATGTTTTCCAAATTTGGTTGATGGTGGGATCATGGAAATCAATTTTATTATGATACATAATTTCCATATACATAAAAGAGGTGTTTTTTTGTTTTTTTTTAATCCTCATCCGATGATATTTTACCATTACTTTTTAGAGAGAGTAGAAGGGAGTAGGGGAGACAGAGAGAAACACACCTGGATTGGTTGGGGGATGGAGCCTGCAACCAAGGTATGTGCCCTTGAGCAAAATCAAACGTGCAACTCTTCAGTCTATGGGCGAACATTCTAACCAAACTCTAGGGCAAGAGTTTGTTATTTTTAAAAAGTGATCCAGAGTCTAGATCTTACAAGTAGAAGAGAATTCTACACTTGAAATGCTTCATGGTCCATAGATACACACGAGGAAGTGTATTGCTTGCATTGTTTTGCTGCTTGCCTCACCCTCCCTCCTTCCTCAGACAACCTAGCCACTGGCTTCATTTGACATATGAAATTCTGATTTTACAGAGAGTGGCTAAACCAAACCCAGCTGCACTCAGATGAGAGGATCAGTTTCTCAGCCCTCTCAAGGGGAAATACTTAAAATGGAAACAAGTGGAACAAGGACTAGTGGGAATGAGGAGGTGATCTCCAGCAAAATATTATTGTGCCGAAGCTGGTTTGGCTCAGTGGAGAGCGCGTCAGCCTGCGGACTGAAAGGTTCAATTCTGGTCAAGGGCATGTACCTTGGTTGTGGGCACAACCCTAGTGGGAGGTGTGCAGGAGGCAGCGATTCATGTTTTTCTCTCATTGATGTTTCTAACTCTTTATCCCTCTCCCTTCCTCTCTGTAAAAAGTTAGTAAAATATATTTTAAAAAAAACAATACAAAAAACAAAATATTAATGTATAGAAAACATCTACAATATCTGAACAGCTTTACTTTTTATACCTTGTTTATAAACTTACTGAGACACTGACCTGTAACACGTACAGTATGACAGCCGTCAGTCCAATCCAGCTATGTAGACTGTACATATTGGGGATGTTCAGGGTATTGTGGAAATCAAACACCGCCACCAGAGAAATAATGGCAAGAATGGCTGCCACGAAGTTTAACCCCGCGTGGATGGATTTCATCAGGAGCTTGCTGCATTTCCAGGTCCATGGCAGTCTGTACACAATGATGGCTACAGGGAGACAAAGGGGGGCAGAATGTGGTTTTGTTTTGTTTTTAAATCTACAGGTGATACACAGTTTGATTGAAACCCTTTCCTCTTGGCTTCTGCTTCTACCCTCTTCCCACCTTTCAATGGTTTTTCTTGGGCTTTTTCGCTGGCTTCTGCTTTACTCCCAACTTGTGAACAAACTTTGGTGCCCCCACGCTCAGCCCCAGGGCTTTCCTCCTGCTCTCACTGTGGGTGGCCTCATTCACTCTTTCACCGAGATGCCACCTACGTGGCAGGGACTCCGAACTTTAATCTCCCGCCCGAACTTTCTCCTCAACTCCAAACCCACGTCATCCAACAGCCTCTGGACATCCATATAGATGCTTCCCAAATATCTCGAACTTCATACATCCAGAACTAAATTCTTAATCTTAGGACCGGTTTCTTTCTAGAAATATTTTAGTTTGATAAGAAAAAGGCAGACTAAGGATTAGAAAAATATGCAAGAAGATTTAAATAAGACAAAGAGTACCGGTATATCCAAGTGGCTAATAAACGTAAGAAAGACATAAGTTCCATTATTCAACAGAGAAATACAAATTAAAATCAACAGAGAATACCTCTACCACATATCTGAATGACCAAGCAGGAAACATACTGAATATTGAAGCGGATGTGAAACAATCAAAATGCTCATGTTATGCTGAGGGGAGCTTAAATGAGAACAAAGACTATGGAAAATTAGCAGTATCTACTTCAGATAAACTTATACATATCTTAGGATCCAGCAATTCCACACCTGGGTATACACCCCAAAGAAATATGTTCAACAAATCTTTTCCAAAAGACACGTACTAGGATATTATTAGCACCATTTGTAATGGTCCAGCCTGGAAACTCCCCAAATGCCCATCATCAACAGAATGAATAATACAGTGTGATATAGTCATTCACACCACATAACAGAGCAAAGAGAATAAACAATTTAGAACTAGAACATCACCCAACAATATGGATCAGTCCCAAGAAACAAGACACGAACAAGTGTATCCTGTATGATTAATTTATGTGGAGTATAAACACAAGTAAAACTCATCTCTGCAATAAGAAAAGTCAGGCTAGTGGCTGCCCTTGTGAGGAAGGGTTATAGCAATTGAAAGGGAATATACAGGGATTTCTGCTTCTGTTCTCTTTCTCAATCTGGGTGCTGGTTACACACCTGGATTCATCAAGCTATGCATTTACATGTTCATTTTTTTTTGGCATGTAGATTAAGTTTCAACAAAAAAGATTTTTACAACAGGTTTTTCAAAGTGTCCTGATTTAATTAGTGGATTACATGGACACCTGAACCAGCTTACAACTACTTTTTGTGATGAAGACAATACCTGCCTCACCCCACCCCTCTAGTCCATGTCAGAGAAAAATGTAGATACCTGGAAATGTATGGCAGACTGAAAAAGTTTAAAGAACACTTCCTGGAAGATGGATTCCACTACATCAGTAGTGTATCATGTACACTTCCTAATTCTAGCAAGGAAAATAAAAGCCTCTTCCCACCAAAGATATTTATGAATTAAATATATGAAACTTCATAAAATCATAAAAATGCAAGGGATTATCTAGTCCATTTTCAGGCAGAAACATGTCTAAACCCACAAAGACAGATGTGAAGTCAGCCTCTTTAGAGCTTCCGCACAAGGTGTCCATCTCCCATTCTTCGGTTCCATTCCAACACTTGACAACCCTCACCCTTAGGACGCGACGGTACGGTATTTCTTTTACTAACTCGTTACACACTAGTTTTCCTTCTCCAGCAGTAGCATGAATAATTTAATCTTTTATTTATGATTTGGGATAATAAGTAAAACATTTTGTCCTATTACTCTAAGAGTCAGCTCTTAAGGGCTCTGCAGGAGGAGAGGTGCTAGCCTCTGATCCAAACTGGCCTAGACAATTACAGATTTTCAGTCCCTGGGTCTAGTTTAGAGTTTTTTAACTCTTCATATATATATCAATATATATCAATATATATCAATATATCAATATATATATCGATATATATATATATATCGATATATATAAATTGATTTCAGAGATGAAGAGAGAGGGAGAGATAAACATTAATGATGAATCATTGATCAACTGCTTCCTGCACACCCTCTATTGGGGATTGAGTCTGCACACCAGGCATGTGCCCTGACACTCAACCACTGCACCACACCAGCCTGGCTCTCTCTCTTCTTTTAGTTTCTAGATCAGATTAGGGTGCACATCCCCAACCTCTTCCCTCCATCCTGCCTTATATTTTATTCCTACCAGTTCTAAGCCCTTGCTTATACATTTTTATGTTGGCAAAAATCTGCACATTTGTTCCCTTTGGGTGGTGAGCACGTAGCAATCTGTTTATTATTTCCTGTATGGTTTAAAGAATTCATAATAGTTCCAAAGTGTAAAAACATTGTTGTACGCTTGCCAATCCATAGCAAACTAGGCTCGACGACTACTTAGGCAGCTTGTGGAAATCTGGGGGGCTCTCCTGAGTAAGGCATGGAATTCTCAGCAGCCATCCTGGCCATAGAGAAGCTCTGCTGGACAGTGGAACTTGCTTCAAAACGCTGTTTTGGTACATGAAGGATAATTGCAAAATAGTGCATTTGCATAAGATGTTTATATGCTTTAAAAATGTATAAATAACCAAAATGTGGTGGGCTTCAGGAAAAAAAGGGCAACCTTCACAAATCAGACCATGTTCTTCAACAACGGTCTATTCTCAACACTTAGAAAACTGCCTGGAGAGCAGAATTTAAATATTTCTTGCTTCTCTGGCTTGGCACTTACCTAGACACCATTCCTGAGGTTCAGTGGGAAGGAAGAAAAAGGGCTCCTAAGCCCATGAGGAGGGGAACAGCGATCAAATAGCTACTTGTGACTGAAACAGGAGTTTTCTGTTAGAGATCCTAGTTGACAGACCATTTTCCACCAGAAAATGAAGGGAAACATAAACACACACCGATGTTTATCTTACACTGAGGTTACAGCTCAGCAAAGCCATCCTAAGTTGAAAATATAGTGCATCAAACATCATAGCTTAGCCTAACCTACCTTAACCATGTTCAGAACACTTACATTAGCCTATAGTTGGACAAAACCACCTAACACAAAGCCTGTTTTATAAGAAAGTGATGACTATCTCATGTAATTTATTATGTGTATCACTTTGCATCATCATAAAGTGAAGAATCCTAAATCCAATCACCACAAGTCAGGGACCATCTGTATAGTATGTGAGAAACACATTTAAAATCTTTAAAAAAAAAAATTATTCGTAGTGAGACCTGCTATTGTGATAAACTTAAAAATAAATGAAATGCCTTAGCTGGTTTGGTTCAGTGGGTAGAGTGTCAGCCTGCGGAATGAAGGGTCCCGGGTTCGATTCCTGCACTTGGGGGGAGGTGTATCACAGCCTGGCCTGCACCCTCTCACATTCCAGGACTCCTTGGGGGCTGTCTGACTGATGGCTTAGGCCCAAGGGGTCGTTAGTGCTGCTGTGGAGGCAGGAGAGGCTCCCGCCATTGCCACTGTGCTAGCAGCCACGAGCGGGCTTCTGGCTGAGCGGCGCCCCCCCTGTGGAAGCGCACTGACGACCACGGGGCAGCTCCTACAGTAAGTGCATGCCCCCCTGGTGGTCAGTATGCGTCATAGTGACTGGTTGATCCACCGTTAGGATCACTTTACATATTACCCTTTAATTACATAAGATTGTGTATAACAGGATTTATAAAAATAAGTCACAAAATTTTATTAAAATGTTTCTTACATACCATTACACTGGCTGGGCTGTAAAAATATTCATTGTGGGGCACATGTGGCCCGTGGGCCACGAGTTTGACATGTTTGTTTTAGAGGCTACTGCCCTGTTCCCTGAAAATAAGAGAGTGTCATATTAATTTTTGCTCCCAAAGATGCGCTAGGTCTTATTTTCAGGGGATGCCTTATTTTTCCATGAAGAAGAATACGGTACACATTTATTGTTAGATGAAAATAAAGGAAATTTATTACCTGTATACGGTACGGTAGTACGGTAGTTGTCAACACAAACCAGACAAACTGTGAATCCTACAGTATCAAGAACTTACTCATTTATTCAATGACAATAGAGTCATTATCTTCTGGAACATCATCATAACAATCCAATTCCTGAATTTCCTGGTGAATTTCTTGTGGCTCTATTTCTTTCAGAATCAGTGGACTAAATCTCTCATGTTTAGCAATAGCATTCTGAGACAGAGCCTGGGGGGTCTTATTTTCAGGGGATGCCTTATATTTCACTCAGAAGGAAACCTGTAAGTAGGTCTTATTTTCGGAGGATGTCTTATTTTCAGGGAAACACGGTATTATCATCATACATGAGTGGCTGTACAGTTGAATTTTGTTACTAACAATTTAATGATGGTACAAAAATAATCACTCATTCTTTCAACTACTTATCGGCCTACCACATATGCCAGTTCTAGGCATCACTCTAGTTGCTGGGGATACAACAGCGGACAACCTAATAATGTCTAAGACATTTGTATTAGTTATGTTATAAACAGATCCATATGCATTTATTTATAATAAAAACTGTGTTTCGGGTTGCCTTGAATTGTCTTGTTATACTTTGCAAAAACCCTTATTTCCCTAATATTGAAAGGTTTTATTATCAATTGTGTTCCCAAGGCTGGTTTTGGAGTAGGTATTTGGGGCACTTTCTCCATTATCTTAGTTTTACCCAAAAGCCCTTTCAAATATATTTAACCAATCTTGAAATTTGGTCACTTTTAGATACATTAACAGGATATTCCAAATGCCTTTTAAGAACTACTCTTCCTTTCTTTTTGTTACTCTTTAAATATTACCCAATACTTAAGTGTAGTTAGGTTCTCTCACAAAACCAACTTGATATCATTAGACTATTCTATTTCTCTCCCTTCGGTTTATACACTAGAGCTCTACGAGTAGAAAAACAGGGAGTATAGAATTGCTGAGACTTCTCTAAAGTAAATTTATAAACTTGAATTTTCTATGTTTTACTCAAGAACGCATTCCACCTGTGGAACCTTTGAAAAGGTCAGCTGCCACGTAAGAGCGTTCGTTTGTTTCGGTCCGCTGCGGCCTTTCCAAGGCCTGTTTCTCTGATTTCCTGGCAGGATACCTGTTTCATGGGAAACTTTCTCTCAGGGACGCACAAAGCCTCTTCTGACGTTCTCTTGGGAGCTCCTCCTCATTCATGCTCACCAGATTTCTACCCGCTTACATTTTTATTTTGGTTTTAGGTATTCTATGGTCTGACGTACTTTATTTTAGAAACCAAATCTTTTCCAAAATAAACTTGGAGAGAGAGGGAAGAGACATTTATTTTGTAACTCTAGAGAAGCCTTGCTTTCTTCAGACCTTACTTCTTAAAGGCGTTTCGAAAGACTCTTACTTGTTCTCACAGAGTTTCAAATGCTGTTTACTGTTTGTATATTGCATTTGTAAAGCATTTTATGCTTAGAGTAAATGCCTGTACGTACTTTAGCTTTCCCTTCCTCGTCTCTAAATGGTTGTGCATCGGAGAACTCATCTGTCATGTCTGTTATTAGAGATGTGAAATATTTTTTATATTTTTAAATTGATGCTTAGAGAGAGAAAGGGAAAGAAGGGTTTTCACAGAGTATAGAGAGACAATTCAAGGCAACCCAAATACCACTTGTTATAAATAAATGCATGCATAACTCTTTATAACATACTTGGCTGTCAAATAGACACGTCCAGATCTGAACTCTTGATCTTACTCAAATCTTTATAATATAACTAATAAGAATGTTTTGGACATGATTGTTTTGTTCACTGTTGTATCTCCAGCTCCTAGAACAATGCCTAGAACTGGCATATGGTAGGCCAATAAGCAGTTGTTGAAAGAATGAGTGCTTGTTTCTGTAGCATCAGTAAATTGGTAACAAAATGCAACTTTACAGCCACTCAGGTGTGATGACTACAGTAGCCGCTAAAGGAAAAGCGCCCTCTCTCCCCCTCAGCGATCCTCTTGCTTGGAAGCCAGCTTGGAAGCACTGGTGTAGCCAGCCTCACAAAAGAATGGGCATCATATTACATTTCCTATGCATGGCCTGAAAGTTTTCTCCCTGAAGCAATGCCACATGGGGAAAGAGTGTTATAACACAGCGAGGCTGTATGAGGTGCTTCCCTCCTGGCCTAGAAAGTCAACCATTTGCCAGGTTTTCCTAGTCTCCCCGCGCGGGAGCCTTCCTACTGTTGGCTGTGAGGAGGTAAAAGTGAGGCAAAGATTTCTGGGAACTCAAGAGTACTATGTGTGTGCCTCTAAGGATGGAAAAGTTATTAAATGTATTGTGTGGATAAATGCTTTGCAAATCTGGAATCTTAAAGAGTAAACAGGATGGGTAATGGTGACAGGACAAATATTCCAAAACTGATACAAATACAGGAACTAAGCTTTAAGAAAACAAGGTTTGCATAAAAGCAGCAGATGCACATTTCCAAAACTTCTACTTACGTTGTTTTGCCCCGGGGCTCATGACTATAAACATATTTTTAAAAGTCCCAATTTTAGAGAGCTAAAAATCCTTTTAGGAAAATAGTAATGAACTCTAATGTGAACGAAGAGTTCCTAGGTATATTTTCAATGAAGCCTTTTGCTTCTCTAAAAAAAAAGTGTTTTTGCAGAAAATAAGCACAGTCCCATAAAAGCAGAGAAATCAACCTTGAAAAGAAGGCCACGGAAAACACACTACTCCCATCAGTAAGTTACTCAAGTGCTCTGTGTGCCTCAGTTTACTCTTACATATGAAATAACGCACTTTGTGGGCACACAGAGAGCACTTGATAAATGGAAACGTGTTTTCCACTTGGTCTCTTCTTTGGAAAATCAGGATACAATTAATACTATGAATGAGGAAAAGATATTCCACAACCTCTGGAAAGTGTCTTGCTATGAGGAGCTGCTCTGAAACCTTGGCTGGAAGAGATGAAGAAACTGTTCCTCCTGCTTGGAGCATGCAGAGGCGTTGACAGCCCTGGCCAAACGTAAGGGCTCCACCATGCAGGAAGAGCGCTTTTGATGACAGCGACTCAGAAACCCGAGTATGTGTTTTTCCTTTTAGTTCAATGCGAAATAACTGGGATTGCCCATTGAAATAACTCCCCAGTGCCAGGCTCACTCCAGGGAAGCATGCCGAACTCGGCCGGGTCATTAGCAATGCTGGCAACTGCATGCCAGAGTGGGAGAGTGTCTGCCTGCCGCACCTGCCTCTCCCGAGGCTGCAGCACCAGCTTAAACAGAAAATATTTTCTGTAGGAACGAGGTGGGCGCTTCTTTATGGAAAGTTAAATATTGGTGAAGAAAAGGCAGCCTGCTTCCAAGAAAAGGGTACCTGGTTCCAAACCCCTCCGCTCCTCACCACCCCAGGGCATCACGTTCTACCTTTTTCTAAATACTTTCTCTGCCAAGGCCTCCACTGAGTTCTTGGAAAGTGGTTTCAAATCAATGGCCCTTGTCCCGCTAGCTAGAGCTCCCTCCAGTAAAACAACAGCCGAAGGAAACTGCAAGACAGCCTGGGAGGCACTAGGCCACAATATCCTATCTAATAAAGAGGGAATATGCTAAGGGACTGTCCCACCCTCAAAGATAGTGGCGCCCACAGCCACAAGATGGCAGTGCCCAGTCCCTCCAGCCCTGCCCCCATGGCTCTGTGGGCCTGCCTCTGGAGTTCCCCCAGTCTCCTCAGCCCTCCAGCTGCCCAGGGCCGTCCAAGGATCAGGTAACCAGGGCTGGCAGAGGCTTGCGCTGCCAGCAGTGGCAGCAGCAGAGGTGTGATGGGGTGTTGCCTTCCCCTGATGGGGGGAGAGGAGGGGGTCGCCTCCTGGCTCTGAGGGCTCCTGGACTGTGAGAGGGGACAGGCCAGGCTGAGGGACCCCCTCTCCAGTGCACGAATTTTCATGCACCTGACCTCTAGTGACCAATATAAACAGCCAGAGGAGGGTGGGAAGGCGTAGGCAGGGGACATGGTGAAGGGGTGCAAATTTTGCACCAGCTTCCAGATATAAAATAAGTCCTGGATGTCACGTACAGCACGGTGACTGTCGTGAATGAAGACGTACTGTCTATTTGAAAGTTGCTAAGAGAGTAGATCTTTAAAGTTCTCATCACAAGAAAATAAAGTTATAACTATGTGCGTTCATGGGTCACTAACTAGATGTATGGTGGTGACCATTTAGCTACATGTACATACAACGAGTCATCATGATAGGTACCTAAAAAGAACATAATGCTATAGGTCAACTCTACGTCCAACATTAAACAAACAGCCATCGACTGAGCCCTAGCTCCCTCCGCTGCAGCCTCATCCAAGAGAAGAACGCAGGCCCGGAGCTGGCTCACAGCACACGCGCGCGTGGGCCAAACTCCAACGCGGCGAACTTGGGGGATCCCGGGCAGAAGCCAGGCAGCCCGGCCACCTGCGGGCACCTCCCGGCCGAGGGAGCGGTCAGTGCCCAACAGGCAGCCTCCAGGGGCGCGATGCCATCTGCAGCCACAGAAGCGAGTTGGACTCAAACCCGAACCGCGTGGGCAGGGCCGCGCGCAGCCTTCGGAGTCCCGGCAGCTCCCCGGGCTCCGCGGACTTCCCTCCGCCCAGAGCGAAAGCGGAGCGGGCGCTGCCCTCACCCGGCCCCCGGGGCCAGCCTTCGCCGGGGCTGAGCCTACCAGAGGCACATTCTCGCACATTCTTGCAACCCCTTCCCTCCCGGCCCGCTGGTCTCGCCCTCCTCATCTGCAGCCCAGAAAGCTCAGCCGGGGCCCCGGCTCAAGAAGAGGGCTTAGCGCCCTGGACAGCCCGTTTGGGTCCAAGGGGAGCGGTTTCCCCGGGGTGCGGGCTGCCCGGGCCGGCCCGCGGCGCCCAGGCATCTCTCTCCGCGGCTCCCGCCCCGGTGTCGCCCCCCAGCCTCTCCCTGCAAAGAGTTAACCAAGTTCGGTCTGCACCCGAGCTGGCGGCGCCGCTGCGCCCGGCCGTCCCCCAGGACGCGTCTCAGCGGATCCCCCGCCCCGCGATCGCTCACGTCGGCCACAGCCCGGCCCTGCGGGGCCGTCCCCCCGCCCCCCCCCCCCAAGTCTACCCAGTCCTCCCGGTCCCCCCACGGGGCTGACCACCGCCCACCCTCCCCCGGCCCGGCTCCGGGGAGGCTCCCCCCGCCCCATTCCCCCTCCCCGTCCCCGCCTTCGTCCCCCGCGCTCCCTGCATCCTCCCTCTCTTCCAACTCGCTCCCGTCGGCTCCCTCTCGGGGACCCTGCCCGCGCGCCTCCCCCACCCTCCCTCCCAGGAGGCGCCAGTACCGATGCCCTGGATGAAGATGAAGCCGGTGACCACGAGCACCGGGTGCCAGTTGAACTCGGGTCCTCTCCCGTCCCAGCCGAGCCCCTCCCGGTAGTGGAGGACCCAGACGAGGGTGAAGATCACGGACAGGAAGCCGACCAGCAGCGCCGCCACCAGCAGCGCCAGGAAGCCCCGGTGGCCGTCCATGCCGTTAGCGCCCCATGCCCCGCGCCCCGCCGCGGCCGTGCGCCTCCGGGACTGGCACCGCGGGCCGCGGGCGGGCAGAGGCTTATCAGGGGCGTCTCCGCCCGCCCGTGGGAGGGGCTTTCCCCAAGGCCGGCCCGGGACGTGGGGCCTCCCGGGGGCGGGCAGCTGGCCCTGGCTCAGACACCCGTCCCTGCCCAGGGATCTGCGGCGCTGGGAGCTCTGGCTGCGCGGGGCACGCCCCTGCCTCGGCGCCCCGGCTGGCGGAGGGCGAGAACAACCAGCCATCCGCTTAGTTGTTGGAGGGAGAGCTGGGCTGATTCCTTGCCCATCGCTTTCTTTTAACTCTTCCCGTGTCCCTTCCTTCCTTGTGGGAGGCTGAAGAAGGCAGGGGCGCGGGCTGCTGGTGAACAGACCGGAGGGTCCGTTGGGTGGAGTTGTGGATGTGACTTTGGTTAGGAAAAGTACCTGTTTCCAAACCCCAACACTGATCATCACCCCGGTGCATCACGTTCCCTAGAGGACTGGCCCTCTTTGATGCCAAGGATGCGCCGAGGAGGAACCTGTGGGATTGGGTGGGGTGGGGTGGGGTGGGCTTGGCCCTACCTGACAAGGAAGCTGCTTGCCGTTGGCGCGTTAGGGAAGGACGACAGACACCTCCCGAACCACGGACGTGCCTATAGCGTGAGATAGAAATGGACCTGAAAAGTGCCTCCCTGCCCAAACCATCCGGACCAAAGCCCCACCTTGATGAAGGGAAGCCCGCTCCCTGCTCTCTTTCCCAACATTATCATGGCCCGTTCTCCCCTGGACCAGATAAGTGTCCGTGGTGTCTATTGCCCTTAAAGAAAACGGGGCTGCTGACGCGGACTTATGGATTGCATGCAGGGACATTTACGTCTAGCCCTCTCTTGCAGCTCATCGCTAAGGATAGCCTGGTTGCCATTTCGAAAGGCCTTAGAAAGTGTAGAGAGTGTGTGAGGGTGGGAAAACACACAGACACACACAAGTTTTAGGCCAAGAAAGAGGAGTGCAAAGCCCTGAGAGTGGGCAGGAGTAACCAATGGCTGATAAGAGGCTCCAGATTTCCCCCTTGTCATTATTATCCTCTTAGCCAGAGAGAGAGAGGGAGAGTAAGCACATGGAATAGAAGGACCCTTTCTGCCCTAATTGGTTTGGCTCAGTGGACAAAGAACACAACGTCAATTGACTGCCTCCTGCAGGCACACTACCCACCTGCGGACTGAGCGGGTCAAGGGCATGTACCTTGGTTGTGGGCACATCCCCAGTGGGGGGTGTGCAGGAGGCAGCTGATCAATGTTGCTAACTCTATATCCCTCTCCCTTCCTCTCTGTAAAAAAATCAATAAAATATATATTTTTAAGAAAAGGACCCTTCCCCATAGTACAAGGCTTTCTGTGGACTGAGCCAGCCTAGTCCTCCACTCTAACCCTTTACCACAATCTGACTAGCCCTGACTCTAAACTTTTCTTCTAGCTCCTGACTACTCCCTACCACCTTCCTGCTCTTCTGACCGGGAACCCACCAGCAGCCCAGGAGTCCCCTGCAGCCGGCCACGGCCATCAGCGCTCCATAGCCCGTGTCCCAGCAGCCACGGGGTTTGCCTGAGCCCATTTGCACCCAGAAACCTCCCCGTTTTACAGCTGCCCACACTTCTCCAGCCAATGCATGCAGACATCACTCATCAAGATGTGATGCAACCATCTGTCCCTGTCTCCACATCCCAGACTGCCCCTGGAGGGTATTAACCATTTCTCCTTATATTCTCCTCAGCATGAAGTAGTAGTAGTTACTCAGTAAATGTTTGCTGAGAGATGAACAGGACTGAGTGTGTGAGTCAGGGTCCTGGCAGGAAACCAATGGCACATTTCAATTGGGCAACTTATTATAATAACAAGCAGGACCTCTTATTGACGAAGTTGTGGGCAGGGTGTGGGGAGCCACAAGGGTTTTGCAGTGCCCAGGCCTGAGGGGGAGAGAGCCACTGAAATCCAGGGAGATACAACTGTATAGAAGAGGCAATCTGATTAGGGCTATGGCCTTGAGTTGAGGGTCTATCCCGAAGGAACTCCACAGAGAGGAAGAATGGGAGGCAGAAATAGTCCAGCCTTACTCTCCTCCCCTCCAATCTCCTGCCCAGTCTGAGGAGTTTCACTTAGTCAGAAGCCAGAGGGGAGTTTAAGACCTCAAAGATGATTGCTTATTTTTATCTGTCATGATTAGTCCAATAGGCCAGCCCCTTAGGGAACACAACAGAGTGCAGAAAGGTAAGAGTAAATCTGTAGGAATAAACAAAATTCACTGAATCTTCCCATCTGTTTCTCTTCCCCCCCCCCCCCCACACACACACACATTTTTGGTTCCTGAGTCCTGCAAATATTTTGGTTAATTTCATGCTGTTTATCTCCTTTTGGAACACTTAGTAAAAAATTGGTTAAGGAAGAGTTTATTGATTTTGAGAGAGAGAGGAAGGAAGAGGGAGAGAGAAACATGTGAGAACACAACATCAATTGACTGCCTCCTGCAGACCCCCTACTGGGAATTGAACCGGGCAACCTCCTGGTGCAAGGGACAACCAACTAAGCCACACCCGCCAGGACATAACTAGAATTTTTTTTTTTTTAACAATAATGTCATTGTGGGCCATGCCAGTACAGCCAAGGGTTCGGCAAGCCTGAGGGAGGGCGGGTGGGTGAAGGATGAAGAAAAAGACAGACAAGAGAATAAGACAGGTCTAGGTGGAACTTCTGTGCCTGGCTGAGGCCACAGAACACATCCAGACTGCAAAGCTGATGCTTTATTTATAGTTAGGAGCAAACAAGGTAATTTACAAAGTTCTTATAAGTTTCACTTGTTTTGGCAGCCCCTCCCACAGCCCATTAGCTTTGCAGGAAAGATCTAGGAAGCAGTTAGAAGATCAAGCTTAATGATGCTTAGAGGACTGTGCCCTCCAAGCTGGGACTTGTTTGCGACTTTACCAGCAGGTCAGTCCGAGGTTTAACCCCATAACCGCTCCCTCCATCATTGTATCCTTATTCTTTTCTCCACAATTATCTACTCCTTGTCCTGACTTAACTTCCTCATCCCCTTGACCCAACACCTTCACTTCACTCTTTTTTTTCTTTTTTTTTTTAATATATTTTATTGATTTTTCACAGAGATGAAGAGAGAGGGGTAGAAAGTTAGAAACATCGATGAGAGAGAATCATCGATCAGCTGCCTCTTGCACACACCCTACTGGGGATGTGCCCACAACCAAGGTGCATGCCCTTGCCCGGAATCGAACCCTGGACCTTTCAGTCTGCAGGCCGACGCTCTATCCACTGAGCCAAACCGGTCCCGGCAACACTTCACTCTTAAGTTGATTTTGCTCTGCAGCAGCAGCAGCAGCAGCAAATAAGAATTCCATTTAATGGAAGCATGGCCAGACGGCACAGATGGTGTTGAATCATCTTGAAGTTACAAGCTAAACTGAGAGAAGTTCAATTTTTAAATTGTCCTTTTAGGATTTAACTTTGATGAAACTTGTCACTTGAAACAGAAAAAAGATTCACTAAATATTATCAAAATGTTAACAACCTTTTAAAAGAGTTGTTCAGTTAAAATGTTTCCCACGGGAGATTGTGAACAATTTGTTACCAAAGTACTTAGAGAAACTTGTCAGCCATGCTATCCAAGGGATTCTGATACGTGTGTGTAGGGAGGATTTAGCCTTCCTAAAAATCCCAGATTCTGGAAACACGGACTTGCTGACACAGATTTTTATTGTCCCTAGTGTAGTCATTGAACGCAGAGTGAGGAGATAAGGTGTGAAGACGTGGGGAAAGAAAAGCCACACCCCACCCATCATGAGAATTGGAACCAGTTGCCCTGTATGCCATCCATTTATTCCTTGTCCACACAGTAATGTTGCTTTTCTTTTGGTGCACACACAACTCCAGTATTCTTTTTTTTAATAATATATTTTATTGATTTTTTTATAGAGAGGAAGGGAGAGGGATAGAGAGTTAGAAACATCAATGAGAGAGAAATATCGATCAGCTGCCTCCTGCACCGTCCCCACTGGGTATGTGCCCGCAACCAAAGTACATGCCTTTGACCGGAATCGAACCTGGGACCCCAGAGTCCACAGGCTGACGCTCTATCCACTGAGCCAAACTGGTTAGGGCAGAAGTCCAGTGTTCTAATGTAAAGTATAAGTTATATGTAGTAGTTTACTTTGTGGGATAAGTGGGCCATTTTTTTTTTAAACTTTCAAATGTTGACTGTGTTGGTTGTCCCTCCATCCCCACTTTTCATTGCCTTCCTCGGTGCCAGTAAGCCTATGAGCCCTTGCTTCTCCAGGCCCGTGTGAGATATTGGCCCCTGTCCTTGCTTGTCCCGGGTCTTCACCCTCCCTGGTCAGGTCCTCTTAAGTCTGTTTGCATCTCTTTAAATAGTCCCTTGATTAAACGCTCTGTGTTTGCAACAGCTGTTTCCTGCAAGACCCTGACAGAGACAAGCGGAAAAATACTCTTGCCTAATGCTGTTTAGCCAGCTTCCCCTAATTGTCTATGCCTTCTGAGGACACACTGTGAAAGGAGGCGTATACGAAGCGAGGAGGTCACACATCTTCCTACCCTCCCTTCCGGCAGACAGAGGTTTGGGGATCAGAAAGCTGTCCTGGATGACTGAAATAAAGCAGCTTACAGCTGATCCCAGATGTTTAAAGTAAAAGAACTCACAGTCGACACTGTGACTCATGACATAAGCCAAGCCCGTGTCATGGGCCAAGTCTACTTAGCAAAATAAAGGGAGGGTTCCGGCTTTGAGAAGAGCACAGTCATCTGATGTTAATGGGAGGAATACACATTTCTCTTGTGAGGCTAGACTGTGTTGTCTTCGGGAACAAATGTCTGCGTTGCTGAGGTGCTTCTGCTCTGAGGGAGCTGGTGAGGAGAGGGACCTCAGACCCCTGTGTGGAGACCAGCTGTGGAAGCAGCCCCTACCACCTCCCTATCTCAGAGTCCTTTTATCCCAAGAGAGCAAGGCTGAAGCAAGGAAAGGTTCCGTTTGAAT